CAGCAGTCTCTCTGAGCAGCAAATAAACTTTTGTAGGAGTCTTCCTTTAGGAAGACTTAATTCCTTTAATTCCTTTAGGAATTAAGTTTTTATGTTATTGATCATTACTGATACTCTTAAAATAAGAGAGCAGCATGGTTGTGTTAATGAGCTGATAAATTAATTCTTGGGCATGGAGCAGCCTGGGACAGTGGAAGGTTAAAAAGAAATTTGCCAGATAAACATGAGGTTTTGTTTTATTCACTTTGTTGTGTAAGCAGGTTGATGTGAAAGTAAAGTGATATTTTAGTTAATTTTTTGGCTTATGTTCAATGATTCCTGCAGTCTCTCTTAGCAGCAAATAAACTTTTGTAGGAGTTTTCATTTAGGAATTAAATTTTTATGTTATTGATCATTATTGGTACTCTTCAGAGAGTGCTGCATGGTTGTGTTTATGAGCTGATAAATTAATTCTTGGGCATGGAGCAGCCTGGGACAGTGGAAAATATGGCAGATAAACATGAGGTTTTGTTTTATTCACTTTTTTGTGTAAGCAGGTTGATGTAAAAGTAAAATTATATTTTAGTTAATTTTTTGGCTTGTGCTCAGGGATCCCTGCAGTCTCTCTTAGCAAATAAACTTTTGTAGGAGTCTTGATTTAGGAATTAAGTTTTTATGTTATTGATCACTATTGGGGCTGCATGGTTGTGTTAATGAGCTGATAAATTCATTCTGGGGCATGGAGCAGCCTGGGACAGTGCAAGGTCCCTGCTCAAGGCAGGGATGGAATTAAATGATCTTTAAGGTCCCTTCCAGCCCAAAGCACTCCATGATGATGGAGATGTAATTAATTGTTTTTAAGGGGAGTTCTCACTCTTGAGGAACCCACAGTGCAGGTAGGAACAGCCTGTCCTAATTCCCTTTTTCCTCCATAAATCCAAATGCTGGCACTTCCCAAACCTTGTGCAGTCCAAGCATTGTGAGGAGTTCATTAATTCTTTGCTCATTAAAACACATCCCTCTGGTGGTGTCTCATGAGGAGAATTTTAATTAATGCTTAATTGGTGGTCCAGGTTTATATTTTAGGTGCTGACTGAGAAGGGAGATCTTGGGGCATTTTTGGGAAACTTGGGGTGAAAGGAAGGACAGGAAAGGCTGAGAGAGCTGGGATTGTCCACCTGGAGAGGAGAAGCTTTGGGG